CGGCAGCGGACGGCGCGCAGGCCCCGGCGGGACGGGACGAACAGGCCCAGGAAGGCCGGCGCTCTTCCGCTAACGCACGGACGACCGGCGTGGTTGGCGGCCAATAGACGGTGGAGGACGGTGGGAGGGAGGCGGGCGTTTTCCGGTGACGTCTAAACGAGCGCCGGAAGCGGCGGGAGGCGGTGAGGCGCTGGCCGCGGGAGCGAGAGGGGGAGGTGGGTGAGCGGCGGCGGGCAGCCCTTTCCTTTTCTCTCCTCTCCTCCCTGCGGGACGGGATCCTTTTGCTTCCCCGGGTTCCTCAGAAGTTAGGGTGACTGGAGGCTGGCGGGAGGAGAGGGGAGGCCCCTCCGGGCGGGCGGTGAGGGCGGCTTTTGTAAACCGTGCCTTCCAGCCCTTCTTAAAACCCGCGCGTGACAGGAGGTTTTGACTTTTCAGCTTAGTTTGTGCTTTTTGTTCTGGAGGGGGGGGACGTTACTCCTCGTGCGTGCCTCTGAGAGCGATTTTAAGCTTCAGTAACTAGCAGTGGGTGGCTGGAGGCTGCATGAATCCCCTTGTAGACGCTGTCCGTGAGGCGTCCCGTGGGTATGGTGGTGCAGCATCGGTGTCCTTACCTTTCTGGAGGGATAAATAAGGCTCGGGTGTGTCACTTAGCTGATCTCGTTAGAAGTACTAGCGTAAATCTGTATGCTTAGCTGAACAATGGGGTGTCCCGTAATATATTTAAAGTCTTTATCAGCATCTAAACACTTTAAGTCGGCTCTTCGTCGTTCTTTGTTCTCACTCATACTCCTTAAGTAGGCTCTTTACCATGCATTAGAGTTTTCGCAGATAGTCTTATTGCAATTCTTTATCTGACACGTCTGGGACTTCGAGGGAGCAAAGTCTTTGTCAGAAGTACACAAAAAGGTGTGGAAACCCACAGAACCTGTGCAAGCAACAAGTAGGCTTCGATAGAGCGATTTGCCCTGGGTGAAATATTCAGAGTTGGTTGGCGCTTTCAAGTGTAAATGTTGAAAGCACTGCAGTTTTGACCTGTTGCGGCAACCGTATGGTGAGCTGACATATTTTGTTGTCAAAACGTTTGTGCTGCAAGATGGAAAGTCACGGTGGAGGCGCTGATCCATACAGTTGTTTGCATTGACGTTGCTAGCGTAGCAGCCCCATCGCAGCCTGGTAGAATATTCTTTTTGCAGCATTGACACTGATGAGGGATGGGCCATTGGTAACTGCAGGTGTTCAGGCAAAGATATTTGCTAATACATCAGTCATTGTATTAATATAACCCCCAATACATTGCCTCCATTTCTCTTGCGCCCAGTGATGTATTAGAATGGCGTGGTAAGAAAACTGAACCATTGGGATCGTAAATCCTCATTAGAATGATGCTGCTATTAATAATTGTATTCAGCTTACACATTTCTGTTTTTTTTTCCCTTTTGAGGTCAGAGTTAATTTGACTTTTGTGGTCAGTGCTTTTTTAAATATTTTTTTTTCTTTTTTCTTTCTCTTATTTTAAGTCAAAATTATTGTGAAAGGTCAGGAAAGATTGGAAGAAAGCATCTTCCTTCAGGTTATTTTGTATCTAGGTTGAATATGCCTAGACTTGTTGCAGTCATGCTTCCAATTGCTTTTGAAAATTGTATAGCCTAATATTTGGTATTAGGAAGAGATGGATTCTCGTTGTATCCCTGTTTTTTTCCCTCAATGCCTCCCTCACAGTATTTTATGTACTGTTGTGGTGCTCTTACACTTCTGCTTTTTCATCTTATCAATAGAGGACTATGTCTATTCAGTGTTTTCTACCTGTCCCAAGTATGGGGGGAGGAGGAGAAAGTTACACACACACCCCCCACCCCCCCCCGTTTTGTCTGTCTTGCCTCCTGTCTAGGTAAGAGATACTGGGATATCTTTGAAGCACTATCAAATACAGATTCTAATTGTTGGAAGAAAAAGCAATGTTTTCTGTCTGTCTCTATGTCCATCCTCAAAGCAGCAATTTTTGCAAAATTGGCCACGATATTTCTAATAAGTTACAATTCTCTAAGCATCTCTCCTAGGTCTTACTCATACAAAAGCATCTAAGCTTTTTGTGAGAGCTTTCCAAAGTGGAGGAGAGATGTAACTGGCCCACATTTGTCAATCTCTGCTGTTTGTCAAAGTAACAGTATAAAACCAGATATATAACAGTAGCATCAGAGATACTGCAGCTGCTTGCCTCTGCATTTACAGCACACCATTGGTTTTATGCTTTGTTCACATATGGCAAGATGTAGCCATCTGGATTAGAAAGCTGTGTGTTTTTGAAACAAAAATGTAGATTCTGCAGAAGGTTGATAGCACACACTGGAAAATTACAAATCCTGGAGAAGTAGGTATTTCTAGCCCTGATGAAAATTGATGTCTCAAGTAAGTGTCTCGAGTAAGACAAGAATTGTGCACAAAATATTGCAGAATACTGGAGTGCTTTTGCAAATATGTCAGAGATTTTTTTAGGATATGTTATTTACAAAGAAAAAAATTTAATGATTGATTGATAAAGAAAACCCAGTTGTACAAAAAATCTAAAGTTTAAGTGACCCATGTAATCTACTTGATGAAGAAACTCTTTTTGTATTACATCAGTTATACTAGCATAGAGCGAGACATAGCGCTGTGATAATCGGAGCAAAGCTGTTCTTGGCAGCTGGCCGCAGTGAAGCAGCTTGTGCTGCACTAATAGAATGGCTTCTGCCTATGCTGAAGTGTCTTTAGTTGAGAAAATTAAGACCTTGCTTTAGGGGAAAACAGTCACCTCTGATCAAAAATAGGAAGAGGTTGTTTAAATTAATATAGCAAGTGATTATATGCCATGATACTAAAGAAATATCAACTACCTTTGCTGTCTATGCTAATAGAAAATAGTCAATATGAGTGACAATGGCATTAGGTGTGAAACAAAAATAGATTGGTTTTTTTGATCTTTGTTTTAGAGTAGCTTTGTACTGAGAGAACAGGTGAATCTGAATGCAGCATAGTAATCTTGAGGTTTGATCTCTTAGATTCCATTAAAAAGAATTCTCTCATATTGATCCTAAGAGTTTAGTCTCTTCATGGTTGTTACTAAAGCTGTGTTAGGTCACATTATCTAAGAAATGCAAATTTTTTTTTTTCTGTAGAAACAGATGAAATGTGCTCAAGATGCTGGGAAATGCATTTTCCTCTCTTTAAACATTGGGGTTTTTTTGTCTGGTATTTTCAAATGCATCCTTACTTTATCTCATTGGTCCCAGCTAAAATTTGTCTTGTTAGTCTTCTGTGTGAAATCGGTCTCCCCATATTGGTTTTCCTTACCAGCATTTTGAGCAATGTACTCGATGGTTAATTCTGTCTGATTAATTTTCTTCATTTCATTCCACTAAATACAAAATATTCTTCACTTCTGAGATTTTTCTTCCACCTCCGTACTTCTTGTCTGATACAGTTGTGTATTTTTTTTTTCTTCAGTCTGTTGACTTTTGTGATAGTATATCTCTACCTTTTCTCCAGCTTGTGTTTTTGTTTTGTCAAAATACTGGTGATATTCTTGCTAGTGGGAGTGAGGTCCATCGACAATGATAAAAAACACTCCCATTTTTATAAGCCTTTCTGCCTGATAATATAACAGAGCGTGTACATGAATGTCGGTGCCTGCTGCCAGTGATTTGTGATGGGATGTTGGATGTGGCATGACTGACAGAGAGCAGCGTGGTGTCTAAGCTTGCCCTTAGCTTCAGCCTGCAGTGCGTAGCTTTTTGAACCCTGTGTTCAGTTAACAGTTTCAGTAACTGCTGCAGGCAGCAGGGCGTGGACCCTACTGTATTTGTCAATATGCAAAAAAACCCCCACTGGAGAACCTTATCTGAATCCAGCTTCTAGTATTTGCTGTTGGTCTAAAAACCCAGTGAGGCTCGCCATCAGGTACCAAAGTCTGTGCGGATGTGCGAGGCGGGTGGGTGGGTGGGTGGGCTGCGGACGCGCAGGCGCCGTGGGAGGCTCAGGTGCTCTCTGGCCATCAGCGGGTATGGACGGAGGGAATGGTCCACCTTGGGGCAAGGGCTGGGTGTGGGGAACCAGCGGCAAAGTGTTTTGAGAAAGAGCAGGACAGCAGACGCTCTAGCTCTTGCCCTTACCAAAACCAGGACCTACCAAACTCCCGTTGATTTAGTCAGCTTTTGATTTATAATCCGTGGCTACATCAGACTAGTCCTGTGTCTTGGTTATGGAACGTACTTAAGGTCAAGTCTGTCATAAAATGGAACAGAGTTTTAAGAAGGTACTCTGGTTTGTTTGTACCAATGGTAGGGTCAAAATCTGAACGTACAGGCTTATTAACAGTTGAGGAAGGAGCTACTTCGTCAGGATTTACTATCTATTACCAAAGGAAAAACATTTGTTAAATCAAACTTTTCATTAACCTCTCATCACATGCAAGTGAGTCTTATTTTTCTCTACTTAATGATATTGAAAGACACTGAAATAAATGTAAGTTAAGTGAATATATTTAATACTTTTCTGAGTGTTTTTAAGAAAGCAGTTACAGTAGTTTCCAAAAGCTGTTGCTAACAAATGGAAGAAAAGCTGAGATAGTGAGTAAAAAGTGATAAAAGGGAAAGAAAACTCTGGAATTTATTAGGAAAGTGTTGTATCTGTAATAATTTGTCACAGGAAGTTTTTTGATATTGTGAATTCAGCTGAGTAGTTAATATTCTTTCTTAATCGAGTGTAGTGAATTACTCTACTAATTCAGACAAGTCTTGGGGATGGGCAGTCGAAAGACTTAGATTTTAAATGTCTGGTTTACTTAAAAGAAAAAATGTACTTATGAATATATATACATATATATATATATATATGCACTTTTTCCTAACTTCAGTTTCTTTTTTTTTGGTAGGTAATTGAATGGGTCTTCCGAAGCAGAGTTGC